CGTCTCTAAACTCTTGTTCCTAAGTACTGCATCGAGAGATACCTAGAAGTGGACGTTAATTACATTTTCGTGAACTTCTTCAAACTAGAATTTAGACTGACAAATACGTGTAGTGTCTGCCCAGTTTGAGTAAGGTGTTCATAAATTCTTTAATAAAATTAGAGTTACCAATTTTCGAAATTGGAGGAATAGGAAAGGGATATTCTCCTTCTAGCTTGACTTTATTAGACATGACATGAGTTAGAAGCTTCTCATTCCATTTTGTCAACAAGAGGTTTGAAGGATTAGATCATAAAACTTTCCAATCTTCAACAATTCTTTTCCTTTAACATATATAATGAGAAAAAGAGGTTTAATCTGTAACTGTATGAGAGAAAGTTCCAATATTCATATAGAAAAGTTTTATTTAAGCATTGTTTATCTTAAAAAGGAAATATTGATAACATGTAAGGACCATCACAAAGTTTTGTTTCTTAGAGTCAGCTATTTTAGAGTCAGCTATTTTGTCTTGGAATTGAATTTTCATTCTAATTTTTTCACTACTTCAGTGACCATTAATGCGTAGAATAAATTAAGTTTGCCCTCTCTTCCACAAGTAACTCTAATCCTAATTAAAATTAAAACATAATAAAGAGCTACTGTGCCCCTTTCTCTTCAAGTGTCCATGAGTATTTCAAAACTGTTGACCCTCTCCCTCCCTTCCTGCAATTTGAAAAAACTCCATTGAGCAATATGCTCAGAATAGTTCCTTGATATCCATATTGATGCAATTCACCGTATTTGCTTCATTCAAGAAAGTTAATTGCTAGTGGAACTTGACATTTTGCCTCATTCAAAGACATGAAATCACTTAAATTAAGTCCCTTAATTAGTCCACAAAGGATGTTGGTAAGCTCTTTCGAGCTTTATTTTGTATTGATCTTTTGTGATACAAATTCATCTTATATCTGATGAAGAACCTCTAGTATTAATGGAACGATAATGAACTAACTAATACTCTCTTTGCACAGTTTTTGTAAATGTGAAAAGTTCTGCAAGGACCCAAAGCTTGTCACGGCAAATGATTTCTTCTTTTTGGGACTGAACATGCCTGGGAACACAGGAAATGCAGTAGGTTCAAATGTCACTACTGTTAATGTTGATGCATTACCAGGACAAGATACTCTTGGCATAGCGATTGTGCATATTGACTTTGCTCCATATGGTGGACTGAAACCTCCACACACTCATCATCATGCTACAAAAGTCTTGGTAGTCCTGGAGGGTGCTCCCTTGGTAGGCTTTGTCTCATCCAACCAGGATAACAATCCTCTCTTCACCAAAGTCTTGAACAAGGGAGATGCTTTTGTTTTCCCAGTTGGCATGATTCACTTCCAGCTGAATATAGGAAACACTCCTGCTGTTGCTTTTGCTGGTCTGAGCAGCCAGAATCCTGGAGTAATCACAACTGCAAATACCGTTTTTGGAT